ATATTTATTGTCTCACTATTTCTCAAAATTGTTAGTTGTTTTGAATTACTCAAATGACAGAGATGAATGGCATAAGCTTGCTTGTTACGGTGCAAGTGTTCGTGACACAACTGGTGACTATGTAAGAAATGATTTTGTCACGCATATAATTAGTTAACCTCATTTTTTATGAATTCCATCTGATTTCAAGTCGTATTGGTACGTGGCAAACGTTCCAAAGTATTACTCAGTCTACAGGGTAAGCTATATAAGTGGTTATTGCAACCAATAGATGAAAATAATTTCTAAATATCTGAAACTGTGCCGAAATAACATGAAGAGAGGGCAAATAAATCAATTTGTTTTTGCAAACTCGTGACGACTACATTTGATTTTGAATTGGAAATCGATGAGAAAGATCTTCATGAACTAGCAAAGTCATAATGAACTTAAATTCTGACGCATAAACTATCGATTCAGCAAAGGCCGTAGGAGGGCGAAACCGAAATCCATATTAAGAATTACCGATATGATAAGACCATTTGCTATAAGTCACTGTTATAGCAAGGATTACATTCTCAATTCAGAGGTTATTAGTTTTTTAAGGATGACATAACAAGGAAACTGTTATCGCTTTCCAGGCTCTTCTGAGCTATATGGCTAGGAGTATACGTTGCTTTCAAGTTTTCGCTCCCTTCTGCTACTGAAGCACGGTATGTCGATCTACTTGCAACTTTTGAACCCAAAAATAACAAGAGAACTAATCTCAATAACAGGCACCAAAATGTATTCGCAAACAATCGACCTAAATATTGTTCTAATAAAAATTAAAACAATTACAAAACAAACCTCCAACTTTTTAGGTTCTCGGAATAAAACGTCCAAATACCAAACCAGATAAAAAGTGTAGAATCCAAACTACGGTTTGGATGTTGAAGAATAGCCGACCGGGGACTTTAGACACGCGCTCTTTCCCGTCGAAATCAAAACAAGCAATCGGGTAAATAGCGGTTCTATAATTCATCATAAATTGAAATGTAAATCGTTACCTAAACAAATATTACCACCCGGCTATTCAACCAATAATTGTTCAATCAATCAAATCTAAATTACAATAAATAAAGAAGTTGATAGAAGATGAGGGAAAATTACCAGTCACAACAAATGAACGTTATTCTATCCTGACTGGATAGAACACACACAAAAGGAGGAGCAAATCAATATGCCTACCGCCAAGAACATGTGTCAAGTAAAACAATACAGATGCAGTTCAGGAAGAAACACAAACTTAGTAAATGCGTAAGAAAAACAAAAACTACCGTAAATTTGAAAGCTGGCTCACACCACACCGATTTCCAAAGGCGGACGATGCAGTGATCCTTCAAGCTCTTCTCTCTACACCTTCAAAAACCATGGGGTCCCTGATGTGAGATGGTATATATGACTATTTACTGTCCTTAAATTTCTTCTCACCCCAACAGTATGGTTTCAGGAAAGGTCACACTTTTATAACCAACCTGCTGACTGCAGTGGACAGATGACAACCATTTTTGACCGCGAGAGGGAGGTTGGTACGATATATTTCGACTTCTCAAAAGCTTTTGATAGTGTCAACTTTATATGTCTTATCAAGAAGTTTAAACGATTAGACAGCAAATCACTATTAATTGGTTGGCTCACTCCATGTCTAAAAATCGATGTTACAGGGTCAGTGTTACCTCTACTTTCTCTCGGGCTATGGAATGTCCTAGTGATGTTCGCCAGGGTTCACTACTGGGACTTTTTTTTTCTTGACTTATATAAACGTTCTTTCACAGCAGCTATCGTCTGACTTATTACGTTTTGCTGATGATGTGAAACTTTGGAGAGAGATACGTGACCCAGAGAAGAAATTTGCACTTCAGGAGGATGTGAATCGACTTCAAAGCTGAGCCGATGATAATTGACTTACCCTCAACAATTCAAAATGTAAAGTAGTCCATTTGAGACATGTTGCAGACTGCGGTTATAACTTAGGAAACTCATCTCTAGAAGTATCACAAGTTGAAAAAGATTTAGGAGTGCTGGTACCTTACGATTTCAAGTCTTACGCTAACTGTGACAAAAATGCATTTCGAGCAAATCTTGCACTGGTAACATAGAAGCGCGTGTTTGAACAGTTTGACGGGAGAACTTTCTACATGATCTTCAACAGCTTCACTCGTCCTCATTTAGAGTACGGAAACATAGTATTTCCTCCCTCACTCCGAAAGGATAAGGATACTCAGGAGCGTATCCAACGGCGAGCCATAAAATCAGTTTGGGAACTCAAATTCAAACCTTATGAAAAGCGCCTCCAATCACTTAACCTTTACCCATTGGAATATAGGCGTCTTAGAGGTGACCTTCTGATGGCTTACAGTATACTTAACACTTCTGGACATCTTCTTAAACACCTACTTAAGCTTAGTTTTAACAATACTCTAAGGGATAACACCCAGAAATTGGAAATAAAACATAGCAGAACGGACTGTAGACACAACTTTCACTCCTTAAGAGTTGTCAAATGCCGGAATTCGCTGCCGAATGAACTAGTCCAAGCAACTTCTCAGGAGTAATTTAAAAGTAAACTTGACCTATTCTTAAGGACTAAGGACAACATATTATTATGATTTACTGATTTCTTTTTTTCTAGCGTATTATAGTTAATATACCTAGGTTTCTGCCTGGAGGTATTCGTGATCCACTGCTACTAGACATGAAAGGCCGATGAGCAGAAGCTTCTTCTATTCCGTGCACAACCATTTGAACTATTTGAACATCTAAGTTTTTACCGGACGTACTTTTCTTGATCAATACAACTCCTATTAACTCAGAGTACATCATGGTATATCGTACAGTATTGTGGTATTTGTATCAACTGATGATTCATTTGTACTTGAACCTCCGATTATTATGAATTTCAAATACAATAAGTTTCATTGTGCTCACGTATTTCTGTATGGCTTAAATTATACTATGTCGAGTACTCATAGATAGCAAGATAATTGAAATACTTCCGATTATCATAGTGATGATGTCACAATATTCAGTGTTTGACAACGCTTCTACCAGTAACACCTTCTAATATATTTCGTTCCCGCCCAGAGAAATCAAAAGACAGAGTCGAGGAGATCGGAAGAGTATATTTGGCGATGACCAATATATCGGAATTCTCTGATCTAATCTGGCTAGCGATTGCGGTTGATGTTGAGCACGGCGTTACCACACGTGATCTGGTGCGGATGCCTGACCGAGCGCCTTCAGCTAGGTGAGTCCACTAAAACATATGGTCAGCATCCAATGTCGAAAACTTAGTGCTATTTATTTTGGGGATTTATTTACCGCTACAATAGGTATGCTACAGTTTATTGTGAATTAAGATACATATATTAAACCGATGATTTTTCGAATAAAGTGAATTAAATACTCATTTTCTTCTTTTTACGATTGGGTAGATAAAACGGATCTGAAATATTGATTGCCCATTTAATTTTCCCGACTGTGATCTGTAAATACACAAAATCATTATGACTGCTTTGTGGTGGACCAGACGATATATACACACAAAAAGTATCAACAAAGTTAATAAAAATCAATAGTAATATTAATATATATCAGTTAAATGTTACAAATACAACAAAAATGGGACTTTACTTAAGTTCACCCAAAATGATGCGTGTTCGGCTTTAATCTGGTACAATAAATCCACAATTATAGATGCTTGGTAATTCCAAACGTATCGATTGATACGTTCATCGATGAACTCCTCAGTGGTGTAATCCAAAGTAAGATATGGTGTATTCCCTCTCACAGTCTATGAATGTAAATAATATTTGTTTTATATCTCAGTTAACTCAATCTCGAATGAAAACAGAACGGGGAATTTGAGAGAAGCAGTGTATTTGTTAACCAGCAACGATATGTCACGCTATGTAGTATCATAACGGAAAAAGTCTTCAAGGTCATTTACTTAAACAACAGGTACAATCATTTAATGATAAATGTACATGCAGTGAAAAATTGACAAAATAAATACAAATAATATTAAAAACTATTTACAAAATAAGCTTGTTAGACTTATCTCCACAGCTTGAATAGTATACAGTCATGAGCCCTTATTATTATTTGTAACTTTATTAAATATTATATTTTTGGTGCTATATAGAATTTTCAGCACAAAGTGTTTTAACAACTTTTCGTTTCTTACTTCTCGGTCGCTCTTGACGACAAATAAAGAGTGGTCGCCAGCTAGAAGTTTGTAGTCCATGAATCGACTTCAGAATAATATGAATTCTTTTCGCTGCATATTGCCAACGACTAAGATGTCTCTGTTAAGCTTCGCAACTTCTTAACAGGTTTCACGATTAACACACACTGTGACGAGTTAAAAACAACTAACTTGTTGAAATGTATAGGTGGCAGAAACAGGTAGCTCAGATGTTCAAGCAAGCCACCCTGCATTTGAAATCTAAGATAATGATACTCCAACCACCAAAAAGTTCTGAAAAGTGCATCAACATTTATGATTTTGAAGATTCTCAATGATTCATTTTCATCACACCACCGACGGAACGATGTTTGAAGACTTTCAGTCTCTGTACTTACAATAGATCTGAAGATTTTGTTTCTTTACACTCTGCATGACAAGTTGGCATATTTATCACAGTAAACAGAGACACAGTATCGAAATTCTCGAGAACATATTTGGTGCTTTACACACTATAAATTCGTTTCTACAGGTTTCCCATCACGGAAGTGCTCGTACATTTCCTAATGTATTCATGTGTCTACTCAGAGACGATATCGGAAAATTTATTTTTGGGCCACATTTAGGCGCTACAGGTAATCTTTCCCTGATTCGAATCTCCTTATACTTGAATAGATTTAATATACCACGGGCAGATTTCAGTAGTAAAAATGTATTAAACGTGATTTACCGTATGGAAAACGTTAGTTTAACGCTTATATGAATTCACTGTGGTTAACTGCAATTTGTACAACGCGAAAACAGAACAGCTCAATTCATAGAAGAAGCAGATAGTGGGAAGCAAATAACTGAAAATCTCTGACGGCAAAGTTTAAAAGTGCCTTGTTTGAACTATTAAGTGTTTAGGTTCAGGCTTGAGGTCAAATAAAGCGGTATGATTGTTATAAAGCGGTATCGTGTGGTGTCTGCATGTATTCATTGCCTTCTCTATGTAAGAAGAATTTATTTGTGCATATATTTTTTATTCAGTAACTTATTGGTAAATTCTTGCAACCTATCATCAAACGTACAAGCTTTCGTAATTTCGAAAGAGGAATCCTGGATAATGTGATGTAAAGACAGTTTCAGTTTGGAAAGGAAAGGACAGGATGCTTGATGGCCTCTGTTAGTTCCGTCAATGATGGTCTCTCAGTTGCTCCAACTTTCTGAAAGATTTGACAAATGGAGCCTCAACCACATGCTGAGGTAATGAGTTCCACTCGTTGATGATTCGATGGGAAAATCGATAGTCAGCTGACAAGTAATTTGTTCTGGGCTTGTAAACTTTTTTGGAGTGCCCTCGTAAATCCTTTGTTTCGTAAGACAAGAAAAATGAGGGCGTATCAAGTGCAAATTCATCAATAAGCAATTTGAAAACTGTAATCAAGTCGCCTCTAGTTCTTCGTTATGACAACGGGATTAGGTTTAACTTGGCCAGTCTAGCATCATACAAGATCTTCGCTATTCTAGGAATCAGCTTAGTTGCTGTTCTCTGAACCTTTTCCAAAAGCTCATTGTCTTTTATTAAGCAGAGGCTAGCCGCTTGCATGTGTCACTGAAGTTTAGGACACACGAACATTGTATACAAAGGCAAAAAAGTTTTAGCGTCGAGATGACTAAGAGCGCTGTGTATTGAACATAAAGTTCTAAGACCTTCGTCAATTATTGCACGGTAGTATGCATTAGTTTTCATGTCTTGGCTAACGATGACTCCTAAGTCATTTTGTATCTGGACAACAGGTAGCTAAGTGTTATTCATCGTGTATGTATCTGTACCTTGATGACCGGTATGCATCACAACACACTTGGAAGTGTTTATCGGCAACTACCAAGTTTGAGACCATTCAGGTAATTTCTCCAGGTCATTTTGGAGTTCTAAGCTATCACCCTTACATTGTATCGTTCTCTATATCTTGACATCGTCAGCATATAGCAAGACCGATGATGATAGGAGACGAGGGAGGTCATTTACATACAAGAGAAGTAACACTGACCCCAAAACTCCAATAAGCACAGTTTTCCAGCTAGAGAACTTTGCGTTCACCCGTACTCCTTGTTGGCGCCAAACTAGGAGGTCTTTTATACATATCAACAGATAACGTGCAACCCCGATATTTTTTAACTTATATAACAGACGATTGTGCAGAAATTTGTCAAAAGCTTTGCTGAAGTCAATGTAGGCTACGTCTACAGATAACTTCTTGTCCTTGAAAGCGCACCAGCTTTCACGAGCCAGTAATAAGTTAGTGAGACAAGGATAACCTATTCTGAAACCGTGCTGCTTCTCCGAAAGGATCCGGTTTCCATCGAGGTACTTAAACAGCTCTTTCTGAATAGTCTTTTTTAAGATTTTAACAACCACACTAGTTAGGCTAAAGGGTCGGTAATTCTCAGGTTTATGTTTCGTATCTGTTTTGAAGACAGGACTTACTATGGCGTTCTTCCAGTCTTTTGATAAACGACCCTGGTTTACGGTTAGATTGAAGTATATACTTAAAGGGTTCGCAACGAAGTTAGCTAATTCCTTTAGTGGCCTAAGATGCAGTTCATCGGACGCCGTGAATTTGCTTATGTCCAGCTTATTTAGCAGACCAAAGACACCGAGTTCTTTAATGATCATGCTGTCCCCAAAGTCATAAGAAACATGGTAGTTTTACCCAACGTTTGGGAAAAAACCCAAATTGTTATAAGATTCTGAGGAAATATTGGAGAAGTCCTAAAATTTACCTAAGCATTTCGGGGATTTCCCCAGACCTGGGAAATTTTCTGGGTTTTGCGTCATTTACCCGAAATTTCCACAAACTTTCGTATTGCGGCTTCCCCAAAATTTACGCAATACGGACAAAATTTCCCCAAAATAGAGGGATTGGTTTTTACGTTTACAATTTTTCTGATCCTTTGTCTATATGCAAATAATAGTAAAGTGCTTTTTAGTTGCATTAGTATGTCGGCAATAATGTAATATAAGCTAGGTAACAGTAATGAATCAGTTGATAAGGTTATAAATCTTCGTCAACCTAGGTGGTTAGTACATATTTTACTCACACTCAACCAACGCTGGCTTCAACGTATGTGTTAGGTAATTCTAGAAGTTTTACATTATTTTTTCTTGCGGTTCTTCATTACTTTTGATGCCATCGCTTTCACTTCTTGATTTTCCTTATTTTCATTTTGTTATGCTGACCCAGTTTATAGTAACTTTGATTGATGCATATTTATACAAGATAATTTTTTACCTGTCTACCTAAACTGTATGCCAGATTGACTTTTAAAAATATTCAGCAAAATGGTCTAGAAAAGTATTTCTGTGTAATAGTACACCTAACATTTTAGCACCAACACTTTAAAAGATACTCTCCCAGTTTCCATTTACTTTTTGTCCTACCATATCACAGCTTGTTTCTCGTAGTTTTCATAGCTTAAACAGAAAATATTAGTAAGTGGACCCTATGTCTGAGTATATTTTGGTTCCTTGTCGATGTTTATACATAGTTATTAATTTTTGTTCCAGAATTTAAATTGCATAGCTGCATATGTCGGAACAGTCCGTAAGACATCGGTTTCTCGCTCTTCCTAGTGAGCAAAGGCTGAAGTTAGATAGAGTCACTTCTCCTCGTTGTCAACTAACCCCTGTCCCCAATTTATCTACAAGTGCAATCTTGGATATTAACGATACTTCAATAACGGTTACAGGTGATGATTTCGAGGATACATGTATTCTTGGTGAGTTAATTGTGTTCCCCTCACTATATATAGCTCTCTAAATCAATTTGCATCCTTTTATGTTTTAATGTGATGTCCAATACATTCGACTTTAGCTTGGTCAGTATTCTCACTGAATATACTGATCCGAAAAATTTAAAAGAGATAATGAAGTAAGCTAGTCGGAAACTAGAAGTAAAATTAATAACTGATGTCAGTAAAGTTCTGTTAGAAGATATAGTTCTGTTTTGTGTACCCCATATAAAACAATCACTGTAAAGAATTTGTAAGTGGTGTCGTTTTTTCTTACCTATACTTAATTATGAAAGCTGTCAAAGCAGTTTCTTTGTAAAACAACTGGATAGTAGCCACTCTTCGGGTCGCCTCCAAATGCCCTGGTACGGCCGAGAGTAGGGAGAGTCCGCTCTCCCTCTCGAAATGCTCTCACATGGTCACGCGTATATAGCCTCTGCTAGGGAAGTCCTACTCACTGCCTTCTCGCACCACGGGTGTTGTTTACAAAACTGAGAGGACGAAAAGCGAATGTCCAGTGCTTTAACCGGGTTGTTGAGTTTGGAGGACCCACTTAAGGGAATTGTAAAACTGTGATTCCAAACAAATGGTGCACATAGGCTGCAGTATCTTGAAGGAACAAATGGCGTATGAACCAATCGTTGGTCACCGGCTACCATTGTACTGCATCTCCTGACGTTGCTCCACTGCCTTGTGGATCAGGCCTTCAGGTCAAAGGCCCGACGTATGGCCTAAGAGAACCGTCTGTCCCAGTCTAGGCACCCGGGTAGTATCCTAGCCCTCACACAAATCGATTTTTTATGTGGCGCATATCTATTTGGTGCCTCCTTATAAAATGTTTGTGTTCAGAAAATAAATAAATAAATAAAACTGAAGTTAATCTATCTGGGCTAGGATACTACCCGGGTGCCCAGACTGGGACAGACGGTTCTCTTAGAAGGCCATACGTCGAGCCTTTGACCTGAAGGTCTGATCCACACGGCAGTGGAACAACGTCAGGAAATGCAGTCAATTTCTTTAACAACACCCCCCCCCACGAGAAGGTAGTGAGTAGGACTTTCCTGCAAACACGAGAAAATCAGTGTGGCTTCAGACCTGATCGTGGCTGCATCGACCACATATTCACTATTCGTCAGATTTTAGAATACAAACATGCTTATCGGCGTCCAATAATGGTGGTCTTTTTTGACTTACAAGCAGCATTTAACTCTGTAGACCTAGAGGTTCTGTTGCAGTGTCTATCATAAAAAGAGTGAAGTAATCCATCGCGTCGACAACTTCACTTATCTCGAAAGTCTGATCGGCCCTATCGAGTTGGTGTTTGACGAAATCTGTGCACGGATTCAAAAAGCCCGTTTACCTTTTGCCAACTCACGTCAACTACGGCGAAGGCGATATAGCCGTCTATCAGTTAAAGGAAGATTATACTGCTCAGTAGTTCGTTCTGTTCTACTTTGCCGCTGCGAAACGTGTCCACTAAGAGTAAAAGATACGCGTGAGCTACTAGTACTTGATCAATTATGTTTTAGAAATATTGCCAGGATCTGCTGGGATCACCAGGTAAGTAGTAGTGAGGTTAGACGTCGTGTATGAGGGAATGATGGTAAATCAGTTGATGAGGTTGTGAATCTTCATCGACTGAGATGGTTAGGCAACGTGTTACGTATGCCTGAACACCGACCACCACGAAGCGCAATGCTGACTAGTGTTGGGGACGGTTGGAAGAAAGTTAGAGTTGGCCAAACCAAAACGTGACATCAGTCCTTGGACTCACTAACTTCTGGTCTGAGCCATATTGGTAGATGTAGACTACTTGGTTGGGGTCCGGGAAACTATCTTATCCAGTGATTGGAGACTGAATGACATGACCCAGAATCGATCACAATAGCGTAGGTGTCTACACTCTTTGTCTTTCCTTGAACCATGAGATTAAATTTACTTTATACCTTCCTTTCTACGAACTAATTCTTTCTTCCTATATTATGTCTTTATACATAATCTTTCTTTTATATATTACTATCATTGAAGTGACTACTTCTATGAATTCATTGTTGATCTTGTTGTGCTAGTGAGGTGTGGCAGCTTGGTCTGATACACATATATGCCTTGTCCTGCATTGCAGCAGAACGACGGACGCATTTTGAGATAGATGAGACCAGGTGATTTTCATAATAGCGAATATTCCCCTTTTTGTGAGTAAAATGGAAACACATTATTTTCAATGCGATGTGTCACGGATTAGACCTAGTGGTTAGAGAATAATTCCATTGGCGAGTGTATGGTTAATGTTTCCATATCCTCAAATCTTTTATTTGCTAAGTGACTCGCAATCATATTCATCCTTGCGTTCAATATTTTGAATGGAACCATGTTGTAAAGTTAGAAAGAAACCCCATTATTCTGGCTGGTAGTTGCCTTCGCTTTGACGTCAAACCATTCGCGGATTTCACTTAACAATTCCTCCTTGTGAGCAATCGTCACTCGGCCACATCATTGATTTTCACTTGTTTATTTTATTCCTTTACTCATTCATTTTAATAATCACAAACCTCATCTATTAATAAAAGCTGAGAACATTTTTGGATTGGAGCTAGGAACATTCTACAATCTTGGTCTGAATTTCCGGTTGCGGGCTCGTGCATGGCCTTTGCCGAGGAGTCGCATACAATCACCAAAACGCCCATTCAGTGCTTTCAGCTTTTCAGTGGCAGTCTAGCTACTGTCACCTCTCAGTTTAAACCATGAAAACGCCTAATTTATAACAAACTGACATTGAATCTCCTCAAGCTATATGTGGGAATGTCTACACGATGTATTTTAACTGATTACTAACCTTGATCTAATTTATACTACCTTGTGATCAATCTTCAGGGTCCTATCACAAATGACAGACTTAGTTATCACCTGTTGACTGGTAAAACTTTGAGAAATATCAACGTTCTCTTTTTGTTGTTGTTGTTGTTTATTATTATTTTATTTATTTGAACACATAAATATTGGTACAAGGAAGCACCAAACAGATACTCGCCACACAAGTCACTTGCTTTGTGTGTGGGCTGTGATACTGCCTGGGTGCCCAGACCGAAACGCGTATTTTCCTTAGGGGACCACGCCCTGAACATTCGACCTAACGGTTTAATCCACAAGGTAGTGGAGCAACGTCATGAGATGCAGTCCCATGGTAGCCGATGACCAACGATAAGTTCATACACCATTTGTCTCCTTTAGGACTTTGGAGCTCGTGTGCACCATTGGTTTGGGATCAGGGTTTTACAACTCCCTCAGGTGCGTCCTTCGTATCCACCATCCTGGTTGAAGCACCGGACACTCGCTTTTCGTCCTCTCAATTTCGTAAACAACATCCCCATCACAAGAAGGCGTTGACTAAGACTTCCCTGTCAGTGATTATATACGCTTGGCCATGTGAAAGCCTTGGGAGGTGGGCGTACCAGTTATCTCATTAACTCATGAGTTGAAAATCTATTATTTATTTTCCAACTGTCTCATAGATGGATTTTTTTTTCAATTTATTGTTTTATCAGGTGAAGGATTTTTTGGACAAGTTTTCAAAATGCGTTTGAAATCAACAAAAGAATCATTTGCGGTTAAAAAAATACCATTTTGCAATTTGGATCCACGTAATCCAGATATGATAGCAGATTTGGAAATAGGGAAATTGCATCCACATCCATTTTTATTACGATCTTATTGTGCTTTCACTCATGTAGATTCTGTTTGGATTTTATTAGAACTTATGGATATCTCGTTAGATGTACTTCTAAATAAAGTAAGCCTTCAATTTAAGCGTAATGTTGTGCAATCAGTTATTCTAAGTAGTATGTAAAAGATTAGTGTGTAGAGGCTGCTAAATGTTTCATAAAGAAAGTTACCTTTTATATTAACAAGCGTCTAATCTTATTGGCAGTTCGTGTGAAGCAACCAGGTAAAACATTTTTAATGATATGAATACTACTCTTTATCGGGAGTGAACTAAACTGTTTGTTTTAAAGTGTTAACTAGTTTATCGAAAGGATATTTAATAAATATTCAACTAACATTTTACTATTATTCAATGTGTTACTTACAGAACGCGGTAAACTGTAATCCTTCCCATCTAGTTCATTCTACGTGTTTTAATGCAATTGTTTTGAAGACTGTAAAATGTCGCTGGCTATAAGAACTTATAAGTATTCAGATGATGTGTCAAAAATGTCCTAAAAAATATCTTGTGTGATGATTTTTTTCAGTCATCATAAGAGCTTCTACAGTTGGAGATACTAACCTTTTTGGCAAAGTATATAAATAGAACTGGTCTTAATTTTCTAACGAAAATTGTATGGTACGTAAAAGTGGTATTTGAAATAACCTTAGGGATTTAAATTGAAATCATTCCAAAGTTTCTCTCGGATATCTGATCTGAGCATTTTTCACTAAATTTCACCGAACATTTTCAATAACAATGGTATATGAATACACTTACAACGTTATACGTTTCGAATTTTCAACATATTTTACATCAAATAACTCATTCGTACTATACACCAACATGACAAAACAACGGTTTAGTATAGATTTCCTCTTACACTTAATTTACATTTGATAATTTTGATTATTACCATAAAGAATCTCGGATCAGTTTACTCAGTGAAACATTGAGATTACGTAAATTTTTAGTCAGTGATATAATTTCGTCTAGATACTTAATTCTTAATTTCTGTTAAGCTGATTGTCTAAATTTAGATGAATGTTCATATAAGCTTGCATCTTAATAATTAAATTGTTCTTATGCTAAATTGTTGGAGGCATTCGATAGGAATTCTTAATCTTTAGTCGCAATATATATGTATATTAATACGAAATCTCATGAAATTTTAAATTAATAAATGTTATCAACGAGACAAATTTTATGCATAGTTCAATCAGTGTAAAATGAAAGCTAATTAGTCAATTATTCTGGTTATATAGTGATAAATCCTTTTACAAGCGAATCAATAAAAGTATTTGTTACACCAATAGATTCATAATGTTATATGATCACTGTTATTCTATGTATTCTCATTTTGATTTTAAATTATTTTACAGGTAAAGGCACTCAATGAATACATTCCTGAAAATGTTTTGAAGCATATAACATTTTCAATTGTTTCAGCATTATATTATTTACGATTCGATATGAATATGATTCATCGTGATATAAAACCGGCTAACATGTTAGCTAACAAATGTGGAGAAATAAAAGTAAGATGATAATCAATCAATTGATTGATGTACATGCGACCATTTTGTAATTCTTTTTTTTTCTACTTCGTGTTACATAGACTTAGATTATGTGTTTGTGTACCATATCAAAACAAGATGAGATTGTAATGCTAGTGAAACAATATTCTGTAGTAATTATAAGTAATAAGATGGTGAGATAAATTCACTTAAATTGTTTAAAGTTTCTCATATCTGATTATTAGATATTTCGAAGGTGATTATATAGTGTTCTCTTGATGGTATGTATTTTAAGTCAACGATTTCCCATCTAGCACAGATTATTAACAATGATGATGCTTGCCAGTATTTCTATGTTCTCATCTTATTCAGTTAATATTGTGATAAGAGATAATAAGTAGGCCACATATTATGTATTTCGATCACTTCAGTTTATAGAAAAGGAACAACTTAGTGGTAACTGGCCTATATGGAGTAAGACCATCCTCATACTCAACAAAAGAGATTTCGTACATTGTAGATCACTTAAAAAATAAGGGAAGAACATCTTGTTATATACTTGCTTCGGTTAACAATAAAGTGGAATGCTTTCCTCCATCTACAGTATACTATCCTATTACAGAGACTTAAGAACGCAGCCAATTTATCTAGCTATCGGTGTTATCATTATTAAACTTTCTTAATTACAGTGGTTTTGGAACTGAATCAAAGGCTGAGGCTTATTCTAGATGTGCTGATCAAATATGCTTATCACCCTTCTCAAAACTGAGAACCATATGATAATTCGGAACAACTGTATCATCTAAGGCATCTATTTCACATTTGTAAGCAAACTGATTTACATTACTAGGCTCCTTCAATACAGGTTAAAGTATGAGTGGCAATAGTTTCTTCACTTGTAACCTTAATAATACTGACTTAATTTTATTCGATAACACATTTATATTAAGTGCGCTACATTTGTTAATATCACTTGATCTCGCTACGGTTTAAAAAAATTTCATTACTATATTAGGACTGAAGTAAAATAGTTTAAATAGTTGTCTTTGGAATTTTTTTCACTACTGCTATTTTAATATTATAAATTATATCTACTCTTAAAATTGTACACGGTAAAATGCCAGAATATTTTCTTTTTACTTATTCAGTAATATTATGTTTGACTAAATTACGTGAATATTGCCCTGCAACCATGGTGCTAGACTTAAAATCTTTGTTGTCACGGTATTACAGTGTTGTGGTTAATTGCTGACTATATATATACAGCGCATTGCGAGTATGCTAAGATACGACTTCTGTATAATCAGTTCACTACTGATTTTTTTCCTATTGATCATGACTTGATAAGTTCTACGTAACTTCTATAGCATTCATTTCCACTCCATTGTGAAAATTCTTCAAAGTAGTTTTGTAGTTTACTAACGTATCTTTTTTTATCCTAATTTGTTTAATTTTGTTTTTATAGTTAGGAGACTTTGGTACTGCCGTCACCCTTTCCAACTGTGAAATTTTAACGGATGTTGGATCATGGCGTTACCTTGCTCCAGAGCGTGTAAGCTGTGGTTCTATAAAAAGTTATGGAGTTAAATCTGATATTTGGTCTTTAGGCCTAAGCATTTATGAATTGGCTACTGGTACAAACCCATATGAACCGCCTAAAGATCCTGTTGATGCATTCAATCAGGTAATTCATATATATGTCTAATATTTGTCCTAACCACAATATTCTCGATTCATTTTCAAAATACTTTGAAATATTCGCATTGTTATTTTTTTCGCATCTACAATGGTAAAAATAAAATCCTAATTATCCTATTAATGAAGTTGCACAAATCATAACTTGTTTACAACAAAGCATACAATGAATGATTTAAAATCCTGGTAATATATACAACTTGTCTTTACGTAGTGATTACTTTCAAAAAGAAGAAAACGTACAATAAACCTGCCTTGTATTGTACTAGAAGTTTATATTTATTTAAATGATATTACACAGAAAGATACTGTTTACTTAATGTGTTATAAATGGTTCATTTCAGCATATTTTTGTTCTGCCTTCTGTTTTATTGTATCACTGCAATTAATTATAAATCACGAGGCATTATAGGATTATATATATATAAGCGTGAATAGACTTCTTAATTTTCTTGAAAAATCTTTACTTCAGGTTAGTAAATGAACAACGCCGCATAATCATGTGTTGCTACCATTGATGTGTTGTCTAAATCTCATGATTGATTTACTAGTAATTTTTACGTTCTCAATAGTTAAACAAACATAACTATATTTATTACTTACTGATGTGTTTTTGTTTTTCTAATGATTTTGTGAAAAAAGTTTAAAATGGCCAGATTCAATATCACTAGTACATTCAGCATAATCGTAACATCATATTAAACTTAAACAATTAAAATATTTCAAAAACAAGAAATTATTTTGAGTTCAGTAACTGTAAAGGGATGAATAATCATTTGAGAACTGACAAATCATATACAATGGTGGACCATAATTATTATATGCAAGTGTATAATGCAAATTGCTAAGTTTAGTACAATGATGCACTAACTAGATCATCTATCTAAATATGTTGTTTTATAAAATATTTTAACAGATAGATATCAATTATCTAAAAGTGTTTTAAACACTTAGAAAGTTTTCTTGAGTATTACTTTTCTGTAAAAATATATCATTGACACTAAATATTTGAGCATATTGTTTTAATGGAATGTTTATCAGTATTTCTACGAAATATTTCTGTCAGTATTATGCTAATCACTCATGATAAAAGTTGAATATTTTTCTTCAAAAAACTTGTTTAAATGTAGTACTGTGTTGTTACAATGTACTTGTTAATATCAGATGGGTTTTGTGGATATTATAGTAATTTCAATGGTTAAAATCATGAGTCAGTTGAAGCTAGACCACCATGGAAAACCTGGAAGCACTGGACGGCTGTTAAACTTGTATAATTATGCAATTTTATGTAAAGAATTCAAAAAATCTAATTATTATCCATATGAATTATCTTCAATGCTCTAGTTAATTTATGTTTCTTGACTACTTTGAAAATATGAGTAATATTTCGCGAAATACATTAACATGAATGATGTTTGATAATATCGGTTTAGATTAACGTAATCAAAAGAGTTGAAACAGGCAACGAATATAAATAACGCTAGACAACTCTGCAGACTAATATAGGGAGCAAGTATTAAAAGCCAAGTGTTACTGGGACTATCTCGGAAAAGGATGAAGCTTTTTCAACCTAGTGGATTAGTTAGCAGTGGCGAACAGTTCAACTGATCTCCGACCACCTTTCAATTACTCTGTAACTCCAATCAGCCTCATTGGCAAATCAATACAGGTTTCCTAAATTTTAGTGAGGTTAAAAAGGCTAAAGGTAATTAAAGATCCTGATGGGTAAAGCCCAAAGATCTCTAGGGATAGTGGTCCAGTTCATGGTACAGGGTAACAAATCGGTTGGTGAGGTTGTGAATTCGATTTAGGTGGTTAGAATACGTGCTGCATTTGCTTAACCACTGCATACCTCGATGAGTAACGCTTGTTAATTCAGAAGTACGTTAGATGAAAGCTACGGGCAACCAAACCAGAAAGTAGCATCAGTCCATGAAATCATTAACTGTTGGTCTGAGCTTTGCTGGTAGATATAGACTATCTAGTTGGAGTCAGCTTGATTACTGCCATTAGGGGTTAACGACTTCGGGTAATATGGCTGAGAATCATTCTAAATAGTGGAGATGCATTTTATGTTTATGTTTCTCGCGATTTAGGATTTAAGTATACCTTCATACATACTTTTCCATTCTTTCTTTCTTTCCAAACCATATTCAAAATATTTAGGTTTTCTTTTTATCATTACTACTACTTTTTGTTTATCACTTTTGTTATTTCCATCTCGTCCTGATGTGGTATGGCAACGTAATCCAACGCAATTCTTTGAAAGCTCTATTTTTTATGATCTTTTTTAAATATCGGTTTAAATTAAACATACTTTATTAGATATTTGTACTTCTACAACCTTATCTCTTAGTATGTGACAGTCCATTGAGTATATGGGTTATTTTTATTTTATTTTATTTGAACACATAGATATTGGTACAAGGAGGCACCAAATACATATGCGCCACACAAATCTCATTTGATATGTGTGAGGGCTGTGATACTGCTAGGGTGCCCAAACCGAAAAATGTGGTGTTCTTGGGGGGCCACACCCGGAGCCTTCGACCCTAAGGTCTGACCCACAAGGCAGTGAAGTATCGTAAGGAGATGCAGTCCCATGGTAGCCGGTGTCCAACGATTGGTTCATACGCCACTTGTTCCTTCAGGATACTGGAGCCTATATGCACCATTGGTTTGGAATCACAGTTTTACAATTCCCTTAAGTGGGTCCTCCAAATTCAACAACCCGGTTAAAGCACTGGACATTCGCTTTTCGTCCTCTCAATTTTGTAAACAACACCCGTGGTGCGAGAAGGCAGTGAGTAGGACTTCCCTAGCAGAGGCTATATACGCGTGACCATGTGAGAGCATTTCGAGAGGGAGAGCGGACTCTCCCTACTCTCGGCCGTACCAGGGCATTCGGGGGCATTTTGTAAACTAAATCGTAAAATATCCTCATATTGGACAATTAGATTTTTTCTACATGAATACATATTTAAATTTCTTAATATTTTGACTTTTATTTCTTAGATTGTAAATCGTGATCCTCCAAGTCTTTCAAGTGATCTACCATATTCTAATCATTTACGAGATTTTTTAAATATGTGCCTTATTAAAGAAGTTAGTGAAAGAGCAGATTACAATGATTTACTAGTGTCAGATTTTATTCGATCCGTTGATGTCAATTCTCATTTGATTACAACAGCACAATTCTTAGTGAAATATATTTAATGAAAATTTTAATTTGTATTTGTCACCTAGTCAAACTTCAAGGACGAATATATATATATATATATATATATATATATATATATATATATATTGAGCAAAGGTATATTTCGTTAATTTTGTCGTATATTCTTGTTGTATATTACATTCTAATACATTATGTCTATATAGGGCTGTGAATATTAATTTAAAATAGATTCTCTTATTTGTATAACCTGTTCCTGTACACATAAAATGGGATTTCTTTTCGTTAGATAATAATTGAACACTACAGTTTTTTTTTTTTTAAAATAAATTCATTTGGATATTGTGTTTTCTTTTGTACAACTGTCGTTCATCTCTCTCGTTCACTGAAACATTTTGTTGCTGTTGTTGTTATACCACCTTTTTTGATGGGATTACTATCATGGGTTTTGTTTTATAATCAAATATTGATGTTAGATAGAAGGATATGTTTTCAAAATGTATCTATGTAAACCAGTTCCCCTATCTCTCTTATTTACCATTTTTAATTATTCCATTTATGTGATATTTTGTAATCTATTTTTGTTATTTTTTTTTACAATTGTACATATTATTTCTTACGCACAATGTGTAGTTAGCAAAAATTTATTTTCTTTATTTCGTTTATTCGAAAATGAGAATTGGTATAGATCTGAAACTTTCTAATTAATAATAAAACTGGACAAGATTATGTCCTGGTTATTCTTCGAAATATTTCTTTGTTCATCTTTCCGATTTATGTTTAGTTGATATTTTCTTTTAAATGTATACTTATCTATCTATTTTTTACAGTTTGATATTTTACCATTATTATCTGTGATAGTAATAATAATAGTTATTATTATTATTTCTATTGTTAAACTTTCAAACTTCAATTCAATATAGGTATGAGATTTCGAGTGTTACGTTCTCTTAGCTGAATGATTTTATCGCAAGGTTTTTATTGTTCTCTAAATCATTACCAATATAGGAGTGAGCTTTCAGATTGTTCATTCCACAATCGTTAAGTTAGTCTGTTCTGGTGACCTGGTTATATCTGTGGAATGCATATCTGACTTTTGTCGGGTACTGAAACCCTAAATGCGATGGCACGTGGTAAGAAAACAAAGGCTAATGATAAGAATTTCTTTGACTCTGAAAATAAGTCAAAACGATGTTTGAATACACCACTTTATATAATTTACTCCCATTCAGATATGTATAGGTTGAACTGAGTAATATTTAATATCAGTTAAACATTGAACTGAATAATTTACAATATTATACAGTTAACTATCTATAATCAAAGAATATAGCTAATTGACTAAGTCACATAATGACTCTTAAAAATGTGATTAAATGTCACAGACAATCGGGAAAATTCAACTCTACATGACATTCTCACTCCGATCGATTAAGCTGTTGGCCACCATACCAGTCTTCTCATGTATTATCGTCGTCATTTACCATTTTGTTACGGTTGATTGGTTTGTTCAATTGAACTGAATCAATGCGTCCGTTACTTACAAAGAGACCTGAGTATCATGCTTTTAAAAATTCTTTGAATTTTGACATTTTTCTAATAAAATTCGTCTCCAGTCGTTTGTATACATTGATGTGATTGACAGTATAGCATATTTTTTTAAAGTGCAACTTGTGTTCGTGTATACCTACGCTTCGATCATTGTGGTATGCTCTGTATGTTATTCTGCTAAATAATCATTAGAAGGAGGTACGAGATTACGCTTCTGATTGGTTTCTATAAGGACATTTATTTCATAATACAATTAGCCACTGAAGTGTGAGTCCCGCATGCGGGATCTTAGATGCCCACTGCTGAGGAGTCCCATACCAGGAAGAAAAGGCCTTCCAGTGCTTCCTAGTTTTTAATGGTGTACCAGTATTGTTAATTTCATGATCTAAACTGATCATTTAAATTTGGGTGTGTAAAGCTGACTAACTGTATAATTTTTAAATCCGATATTTGATTACAAAAACGAGGTATTCCTGTAATGCTTTTAAAATAAACTATTTGAAGGAGAATCATTTTATAAAATGTTTTCGCGTTCAAATTTTTATCCGCTGATTAAATAAAGACCAACCACTGGACTAGGAAATGTATTTTACAAATATTTCAGTAAGTAAAAAACACCATAAATCATCATGAAATTATTGTATGTAGCGATTTATATAGTAGATTAAGTTTGAAAATATCTTTTACTCATTCGGTTTCTAATTCTATTCCATTTCATTGTCGCAAAATAAAAGAATATCAATGTGATCACATAGTCTCGATGTCTAATGAAATTGTAGTGGACTTAGTGTAGTTATGGGACCGTAGCATGTTAAAAGTCTTAGGTTTCCGGACTATGATAATTGCTCAGTGCTGAGCAAATCAAAAATATCCAGTAGTACGAAGCTACTTAGTTGTCTTGTGAGGAATAGTCATAACAAAGTATCCATCTATTGAGACATCTAAGAATCACTGACAAAATGATTTTTTTTTCTGAAGGAGATATAGTGTTTTGTTAAAAAGGGTTGATGATATTTACCATTACCAACATACATCAGCTGGAAAATCAGTGAGTATAAGGCAGCTATTTCGATCTAGTTTGAGATCGCTTAGTAATGTATTCGTCGTAAGTGTGCACTACTGATTTTTAATGGTTTCTCAGCTAGTATCGGCTCGTCATGAAAGTTACCTATTTAGAGTATAGCTATTTTTGTCATTCCAGATAGAGCAAGAGTTTTATGCATGTGTAGCTAAACATACGCAAATTAGCATATTCAGATCTAAAGATATCGAGTAATTTGAATCATGCTTATTAATAATGTGTCAATACTTATTCTGTAATTTCTTTAAGATAATCAATTCTAATATATTGATAATTGGTAATAAAGTTGTGTGTTACACTATCTGATCAAACTCTATAAACATAGTAGTGAATAATCTTTTCTTATCTGTTAAAAAATAAAATAAATTTTCATAATATTGGTACCCAATTTTTGCATTTCACTTGAAATAAATAGACATTAAAAATTGATTCAATGATTATTTTGTAGCGTGGAAAATATTCTTTTACGACAGAAATGCACCGCTTAAAAAATAGCTTACATAGATTAAATTCTTTTTCGAATTATTAAAGTACTTTTACTACTACTGAAATCATATAATAATAATAATAGATTAAAGAAAGAGAATTGGAAAATAATAAAATGGAATTTCTTAAATTTACATTAGCTCTATACGCTTGAAAAAAACCCTCCTATATATTTCACTACAATATAAAAAGTAAAACACAGTAGTTCATATTCATTTAAGAAAAATAAAATAACTAAATTGATTCAATTTAGTGAATGTTTCAGCATAAAAAACAATATGTCTAGTTTGTATAATTATGAAAATCAAGTAAACTTTGTAACAGATTGCTATATTTGGAGAGATTCAGTGACACAATGACAAGACAAGCTAAATTAATCCGATCCGTCCCAGTTCTGCTAACTAAAGGGAGAAGACTCGGTTCAGATGATGGAAAAGTATATTTCACCTGCACCCAGGAACACGAACAACCATAAGCACACAAATGAAGCGTATATTTATAGCATAAAAATGCTTTTGGGAAACGTCACAAAATAGCATACTAAAAAGGGTAATGAACCAATGACCTTTAGGGTCCTTTCAAGTGGGAAATAAAATGTGAAGGTGAAATAAGCGCCTTCGGCGCGAAAAAGAGATATTCAAATTTCAGAAATGAAATTACAAAAATAAGATGTCTACCAAGTGATTTCTGGGGATCTAGCACTCCAACACAAATAGAAGACTACACAATTTTAAATAATCTATTTTCAGAAAAAATACTTTACTTTTTTTTTGTTAACCATTAGTGATCATTCTGACTGATTTGTTTTGTTAACTCAACAAAATGACATTAGTGATTTAAATATTAAAATAGAAGAGTTATTTTATATTGACGTTCGCCTTCGCCAACTTAGACTTTGTATTCAATTATAGGCTTCTTTACTTAGATTTTAGTCGTGCTTCTAGTTTAAATTGTAGCAGGTGGTAGCCTCATAGTTTTTCTGAAATCATCTACAATGTATGAGACTTGTAAGTATTAGACAAACAGCCCAATAATATCTGACCCATTTTTTAACTATTCTAATTCTAATAATATACATTTGATCTGGAGTATATATATATATATATATATATACATACTTCAACATTTCAGTGATATATTGGTTTGGTCAGATGTTAATGAATTCCATGCATCGGATAATGAAGCTATATTCCATTCATTTGTGCCTTTAATTCGAAACTTTGTTATAATGTTATTTATATAGCTTTTAATTACCATAAAATATATAAATTTATTCTTAAAGTGATTAATACCACCAAAAGAAAGATAATGTAAGATGAATTCTTATTACAAATGTCAACAATTCATTTGAAGTAATTATTCAAATGGCTATAAAATGTGCTGAAACCAAACCGATATAATGAGTCGTTTGTCTTCGTGATATGAATTATTTATTATAGCCATTTATATTTTCAAGTGTCAAGAAATGTATTACATACAATTTAATAGTTAAGAAACAAGAAATTATTTTTTTAAAAATTTCTTACATAAAATATGCAAATAAGATTTACTATTAAAAGTAAGTTTTCACCGATTTCATTTAGACAAGTTCAATAATTAAGTTTTAATTTGTTCGGTGTCACACGTGATCAGGTAATAATAATAATAATAATAATAATAATAATAATAATAATAATAATAATAATAATAATAATAATACCATTACTAGTTGCCACAGTATCTAAACGACACAATTTAGCTAAATTTGTCTCTAATTTAATTGTATACAATGAACAGATGATAGTTTTTATAGGTGGTCTGATCTATTTATTTGTTTTCAAAGTCTCATTTCTAAAATAATCTACACCATTTATCTGAGATACCAGTACAGCAATTAGTGATATTATGATTCGATATCGTAACCTTTATTTCTAGTGTGCTAGATGATGAAGATCATTCAGGTTGAGTGGCTTATTATGTAAAGTTTGAAAGTTTAAACTGACGGTTTAGAC